CTGTCGGGCTGCGGTTGTTTACTGACTAACCAGAGTGTGACCTCATTGTCTACTAATTTACTGAGAGACAGTAAGAGCACACTGGAGCAATATGTCTGTGCAAGCGCCTGTGATAATGGCTTGCATTTCCATTTGTACGGTATTATTGTCTGTGTGTGTAGTGTAGTAATTACACAGAATTGCATCTGTACAGCAGCAGTGTGTGACATTATTTTTACAGTGGGTGTGTCTGCAGTTTGAAAGCAGGACAAAGAATCTGCATCTGTAGTAATTAATGGTTTGTTTGCCTGTGTGCTAATATTGTATTCATGTAGTTTTTATGAGTGTTTGCTGGCTCATTGTGTTGTGAGAGAATTGGATCTTTACAGTGTGTGTGTGCATCTCTCTCTGCTTAATTGTGAATCACATCAACCTGCTCTATAAATGCGACACTGAATCGCAGGGTAACTGTGCTGCAAAGCCAAAACTGTGAACCAGAAGCTGCTGAAAAGTCCTGTAGAGCTGCAGAGTTGATGTGGTTTGTTACTGTTTATGAGCCTTTTACATCATTTGTAGCCACTTAATTCAGTGTTTATATGAAAATGTTGATAAAAGCAGCTCTGGCTCAAACCTTTACTGTATTACTACTGGGACATTTTTCCTATCAGTGCTGCCCATGCTACAACCTAAAAACTAAACAGAGGTTTTGGATGGAAAGTGTTCGCCCTACAGCACACGACCCTGTGTAAGCTCAGTCTGTGTGCACATGCATGCATTTCTGTATTTACAGTATATGATCTGCTCAAATCTGTCATCGCAGCAGACGGAGGATTTTCCCAGAACTGTAGACTTCTTAGAGCCGGGGCTGTGGGGCCCTCCCTGCTGTGTGTGTTAACAGTTTCACACCGGACACCAGGATCTGTGGCACCACCGCTCCCTCTGCACAGAGCTGCTCCTCGGCTCCGAGTGTTGGGAACAAACGCACACGTCCATTCAAACAGACAAATGTTAGTGAGAGACAGTGGCCGTGTTTCATTCTGATTCTTCTCATCCTCCTTGTTTTTCTCTCATCTGCCTTCGGGGGGTTTTCAATTAAGTGTGCTGCTCCCCTGTGGAAGGAGAGAGAGAGAGGGAAAGAAAGAAATGAGGGCAGAGGAAGAGAAGTGTGGTAAAGATGGAGTGCAGACTGTTGTCTTGATAGAAGGCAGAAGATATTAAGTTGAGAAGGAAAGGGAGAAGTGACAGGTGGGTGTAATAAGGGAAGGAACGAGGCGAAGTAGAGACAGAGGTGAGATGAAGCTAAAGGCTGAGAGCCATAAAGGAATGGATCGAAAATATGAAACCAGAAATGAGGCAGAAAGACATTTACAGTGTTTACTTCGCCGGGTTTGGCCTGTTGCCATGGCCCGTCTATCATCGTGCCGCCAGGCCATGAACCCTCCTATAGTTCAGTGGGTGTGTGAGTTGGGTGCATTTACCCTGTGTTTGTGTGTCACATGTCATGCACACAGAGTGTCTGTGGTGAATTAAGGGGAAGCCATGTTTCCTCTTGTGTGAGGCTAATATTCAGCACGACAGTGTGTGTGTGTGTGTGTGTTTGTTGCTTCTTGCTGCGTTTTATCTGCCACTCAGTGGTCGACAGAGGGGAATGAAGTGGAAGTTTGTGGGTTTCAGAAGCACAACATTGGCTGAATATTAAGCTTAAATTAGGAGCTTAGGTAGCGTTTAGGATTCAGAATAACCTCTCAAACTTTTTGATTCTATTTTATATTTTTATCTGCTTGCTCCAGTGTTTCATCAACAGTTTGTTTTGGTTCATCGACCCCCTAAAGTAAGACAGACAGACAGGCATGCGGGATCTCCGTTATAATTCAAAATTAATCTTGCCACGAATAAAAAGTTTGTAATCATTTGTAACGAGGATCACATTTTCTAAAATGAATTTTCCTTCAGAAAACATAAATGTTTCATATGAGTTCAGAGAAGATTAGTTTTTTTTCTCTGAATCGTCTTCACTGTCAGCTGGCTCTCATTTTATTTACAGGGCAGGAAAACGTGTGGTTATTAAATCCATTAATTGATCTGTCTATTGTCTCTGTGTTAAATTTGCTATAGCTTTTTAAAAAATATTTGATAGTTTTCCAGCCTGGCCTAGAGGTATGAAGTACAGAGACTGTTGTAAATGGGCTGTAACTTCAGTGGCTCTTTGAGCTGTGATGGGGCTTTCTCTCGGTTGCCCCTGACAACCTGAAGATATACGTCAGATCTGGATCAGTCAGACTGAAACTAACCTGTATTAGGGATGGACCAGAGATGGACCGGGAGGTGGTGAGGAAAATGACGGGCAGTGAACGAGTGGGAAAGTTTACCTTTCTCACCCTCCTCCGTGAGCAGGGAGGGAGGGATTGAGGGAGGAGGAGGATATTAAAAGGACAGGAGAGACGGTGGAACAATGAGCGGATGAAGAGGAGCGATGGAGGGCGGTGGGGAGGATTGACACAGGCATGAAGGAGCTGGAGGAGATAGCAGGAGAGAGAGCAAATATTAGGAGACGCCCTCCTGTCCACCCATGTACACACACAGGTCCAGCTGTGACCAGTCTGTTTCCTTCCAGTCAACATCATATCCAGCCTCCTGGGGCCCTGGCAACCGAGATCTGGACAACCACATGGGAAAGGATCTTTAATTTTGTGTCTGTGTACTTGCATGGCTATTTTTGTGAGGACTGGTTTGAGTGAGGACATGAGTGAGTTGTCTAATGATTCCTACATGTACATCTGATATAAATAACAAATAAAGATCTAAATAAATGACTGTTTCTGTAACTACATGTCTTATTTTCCATGATGCTGTTCCATCTAACTGCCTATTTCAGATTTAAACTGTGACACCACGCTTTTAAAAACCTCCAGCCGTGTTTCTTCAGGTTGTGAATCCACTGTTGTTGTGTTGTCTGTAGCTGAGCTGTGTTTTGTAGAAGGATAAATCCTGAAATCCTGTTTGTTTCATGTTCCTCACATCCATGAGTGGATATAAAGCTCACTGGAAGTGAACTGAGAGGGACAGGACAAAAATAAAGGGTTAGGTGGTTCACTGCCTTCAGCTCGTTCTGAAACGAAGCACAAAAATCGGACTCACTTCTGGATTCCATCTCTTTTGTCCTCTGCCTCCCACTGATTTGTAATCCATAGGGTTTAATATGATGTTGGCCCACCCTTTGCAGCTATACGAGCTTCAGCTCTTCTGGGAAGGCTGTCCACAAGGTTTAGAAGTGTGCTAATGGGAATTTTTGACCATTCTTCCAGAAGCACATTTGTGAGGTCAGACACTGATATTGGACAAGAAGGCCTGAATCACAGTCTCTGCTCTAATTCATCCCAAAGGTGTTCTATCAGGTTGAGGTCAGGACTCTGTGCAGGCCAGTCAAGGTCTTCCACACCAAACTCACTCATCCATGTCTTTATGGACCTTGCTTTGTGCACTGGTGCACAGTCATGTTGGAACAGGAACAGGCCATCCCCACACTGTTCCCACAAAGTTGGGAGCATGAAATTGTCCAAAATGTCTTGGTATGCTGAGGCATTATAAGCTCCTTTCACTGGAACTAAGGGGCCAAGCCCAGCTCCTGAAAACAACCCCACATCATATTCCCCCCTCCACCAAACTTTACACTTGGCACAATGCAGTCAGACAAGTACCGTTCTCCTGGCAACTGCCAAATCCAGACTCGTCCATCAGATTGCCAGACAGAGAAGCGTGAGTCGTCATTCCAGAGAACACGTCTCCACTGCTCTAGAGTCCAGTGG